ATATAATTAATGTAATCATATTCTATATCTATACTTGTAGGGGTTATATCCCAACGTATGTTGCTTCACAGAATAATAACCACAACTGCAACCTGATGGGAGGGTCAAGAACTGTGAGACGAAGCTATCTTGAGATCGACGTGACATCAAGAAAGAGAGTCCAGGGTTTCTACAACAGGGGCCATAATCTTTCAAGAAGACATGGTTACCATCTGGTGATTTAACATAGCCATGGAAAATCCATTATAAATGGAGGTTTTAATGGGAAAATCATCTATAAATGGGCTATGGCTTCCATGGCGATGTTAAATAACCAGAGGGTAGAGGTTCAGCCCCAAATGTGGTATTTCACTTGTTTTAACAGTGGGAAACTCTACCAGATCTCTCAAAAAAAAAACAAATCAATTGCCAGCTGAAATCAACCAGAAATTCATGGAGTTGATGCAAAATGTAGACAAACCATTGGCAAAATCTCTGCCATGTTGTGAATTGAAGCTGTTTGCTCTTACATCCAAGCTATGTATTCTCGCGGTTCACTGTAAATTTCAGATGTTCATATGGTTTTATCCACATTCCGACCCAAACCCCTTTCCAACAAAACAAGAAACTGTACGCGACAGCCCTTGATCCTCAAAAGAGTGCTCCATATTCTTGGCATCTTCCATATCCAACACGTGGTCCATAGCCGCTGTTGTTTCCTCAGGCCAACAAAAAATCGAGCACAGGTAGTTTTACGATACTTTACAAAATTATCCAAACATCGTTTCTGTGGATATGAGAACATGTTGGCATCAGCATTTTACGGCGTATGTAATCACCTATATACATCTGAAACAAAGATGTTGACATGTTGATCCTATCCCCCGTTCAAACTAAACAGCGCCATGGCCCATGGTTCCAAATTCGTGGTTTCAGAAACCCTCCTTTTTACCATGGTTTACGGGAGGTGTTTGATATAAATTTGGGGAGGGATTGATAGCCATTATCAACCATTGTTACCACTATTAGAATCCCCTGCTTAACCATATTATATAATTAATAATAGTTGTTCTCAATAGTTCCTAATCCCATGAAATATCATCACTATCTCATGAGTTAAGAGATGTATATATATATATACATACATATACATATATATATATGGGTAAATTATAGTATTTCACCAACCTGAATTGTTGGGCCATTTGGGGATGATTCCCCTGACATAAACCATGATTCCAGGGCTCGGTGAACAGTGAGGTCGTTATAATTTACCCAATGGGAAAGTCCACCGGACCGCCGAACTCGTTTCCGCCCAGCTCCTGCTCCTCATGAAAGGTATCAGTGTTCCATCGGTCAGCAAGGTCACCCAGCTCCTGCATAAAGGCAGTACGGTCCTACATGATATGGAAAATTGTACATTAAACATTCTAATATGTACATATATACACATATATAATATATAGATATGCATGTGTATATATATATATACATACATACATACATACATACATACATACATACATACATACATACATACATACATACATACATACATACATTACATTACATTACATTACATTACATTACATTACATGACATGACATGACATGACATGACATGACATGACATGACATGACATGACATGACATGACATTACATTACATTACATTACATACATACATACATCTATCTTGTGTGTGTGTGTTAATGATGCATGTATTTCTATGTCCACTTAATTCTATGTGTGTGTGTGTATATATATATATTCACACTGCCCAGCACTGGGAGTCTATCTGGGTACTTCCATTGGAGGCAGGAACGCATCGTCTCTGCCCAGGGGAGTTCCAGGAATGTCGAAAATGTTCGCTGTATCAAAGCTGTGGGCTATGGAACGTCAACCCTTCGTACATACTTGGTGGCTCATCCCAGTTAGTAAGTGGATTATAACCCCAGTTATAAGTGGGATAAGTAGGGTTAATCTACCTATAACTGGGGTTATAAGTCGCTTACTAAGTGGGATGAGCCACCAAGTAGGAAGGTAAGATCATTCAAACATCTCGAAAAAAGGTGAGATGGATCAAGCCTCAAATCTACCCAAGTAACTTGACGATGGTATATCATTATATCATGCTCAAAATCAGCGCGTCTTTTAAATAGGGATGGGTCAAAACCTATTAGTATCAATTTTAATGGGATGAACATCCATTTACCAGCTGTTTTGTGGTTCACTAGGTACCAGGGTTATGACTCATTGCCAAATAATACAACATCAACTTTCCCATGGCTCGATCTCATCCACCAACTTTTTCACTCCGCCTCAAAGCCCGTAGTCTCTGGCTCCTGGCTTTCTCGGAAAATGTCCAGGGACAAGCCGGGAAAAACCACCACCAATTTGATGGTTGAGAAAAAACATAATTCACCTATAATTCGAATCATTTTCTGGATAATGTATGATAATGTGCCATTTTCAGATCGGAAACGTGTGATGGTGATATCCCCATGACTGGGTTTATGACGGTTTGAATGGGAAAAATGATCAACCAGCGGATTTCGGGATACCATTTCAGCCCATGACTAGGAGGGATGGGCCCAATTTCTGAATGGAGGCGTGTCAGCAGCCCAACTCCCATTCTGTTGGTGGTGGATCCTGGCTTTTGGTTTATTCACCATGATTTCATGTGCCAAACGCTTTTGATGAATCGTGATGAATCCAGGATCATCGACAGCCTGATTTTACGATGATTTCCACTCTCCTTGGAACTCTAAAACTCAGCACTACTTGGGGGTTGCAGTTCCACCTTTTTTTCCCGTGGCTGTCGCCAAGAGTCGTGCGAAGATTTTTTTCCCAACTTTGGTGATGACTCTGGTTGCCTGTTTCTAGCCATAAAGATCAGCCTCAACTGCCTCAACTGGTACCCTCTGGTAAACATACAAAAAACGATGGAAAATCACCATTTATAGTGATTTTTTCCATGAAAAATTGTAATGTTCCATAGTTATGTTAGTTTATCAGAGGGTAACCCCAAGTAGGCGATATTTCCCATGAAATCCCTATGCCCTATGAAAGCTCCATTTTGCCGGATCCGGTCCTCTGGCAGTTCCATGAACGGTGCCTCAGGCTCCTTCGGCACCTTGGAGTTATGTAAAAATCCCAAGAAACCACTGTGCTGGTTTTGTAAACTGAGAGGATTTACCAACCACTATGATTTACATAGCTAGAAAGAATGAGGATTAGTGGTACTTCCGAACTGAGATGCACATCCAAGTCAGAGCCTAAACCCTACTCTTTACCATCAAGAAACAAGTGTTTAGAGGATCATAGTTTTTCTGTGATCCAGGGACTAGACATACCCAGTGATCGCCATTTGTTTGGTTTTGATCGCGGTTAAAAATTCCAATTGATCCAATGGTTCTGCACCATATTTTCCAGAGATTTTTCTCCGTCTCTGAAGGTTGATCCATGGCTAATAGATTTTTGGTCAATAAAAGGTCCAACTTTCTATTTCCCCATAGATCCATGGATCAACCCCAGTTATAGGTAGATCAACTGTTGGTCAAAAGTATTGGAGACATAGATTTTTGGTCCAATTTGTTATTTCTCCATAGATCCATTGGTTGATTCATGGAAATAAGTAATGGACCTATGGACCATTCACTTCCATATACTGTAAATGGTTGTAAATGGTGCTCCAATAAGTAACCCAACCCTCCTGGCAATCTGACCTGGAAGAACAAGTCAGACTTGGAAAACAAGCTGATTGGAGTTGGTTTTGGTGACCAGGTAACCCAATCCATCTATTAAGCCAGCATGATATATACATATATACATATACTGAATATATATATATATATATATGTATATATATATATGTATATATATATATATGTATATATATATATATATGTATATATATATGTATATATATATGTATATATATATGTATATATATGTATATATATATATATGTATACATATATATGTATATGTATATATATATATATGTATGTATTATGTATATACCTATTGAATAGCCATTGAACACTTGTCCCACCCGTTTGTGGATTGCAAACTTGTTTTTCTCCCATCAACCAAATGGGCACTTCACAAAATTGTGGGGTACAGTACCCCAAAACCATTGGTTGTCCCATTTGAAAGAATACCAGAATACCAGTTTTGGGATCATTTTGAGTTCCAGTTTTTGCACGACTTGTTTTGTCACCACAAAAGATTCCAAACATTAAAAAAAAACACGAAAAATTGTTGAGAAGACTTGCAATTTTCAGACACCCTTCGTCCGATGACCCCAAACTGGTGTTGCAGGGAATCTCCACCTTCAGACACCCCACTTTTGAAAATCCCAGATTTTTTGAGCAGCCTCTGTCAGTCTGTTATTCACCAAAATTTCAAGGTGTTGATGAAGGTTTGAATAAGAAAATCCACTATCAACGGTGGATTTTCCAGAAAGCCACGTTTGATACCAGAGGGTAAGCAACCTTTTTGTTTTTTCACTTAACTACAAATGGTGGATTTTGTTGGTCACTATGTTTGATTTACCAGAGGGTAATCTATTGGTTATCCTGTGGAAATCCTTAGAAAATTACCCTCTGGTAAACGTACAAAAAACTATGGAAATCACCATTTTATAGCTGGGAAAATCCACTATTTCTATGGCCATGTTCAATAGCTATGTTTGTTTACCAGGCCGGGTAGATTGGGGCTACCTTTCATAGATTTTTTGGACCATCTTGAGCCAATCCAGGATGAGAAGCGGAACGTTTTTGGGGCTGTTCTGAAACCTGGAACCGACAGAGGGGAGATTCTCTTCCCAGCCGGGTACCCTCTGGTTATGTCTACATAGCTATTGAAAATGGCCATAGAAATAGTGGATTTTCCCATTAAAAATGGTGATTTTCCATAGTTATGTTAGTTTACCGGAGGGTATCTCTTCAGAGTCGGGATCTCCCCCCCGGAATCCCACTCGAAGTTCACCGGAGGCGGTTCGCAAAAAAACACCAAG